TTTGAGGCAGGTTAAAAATACAACAGGGGTTATCAAAATAGTCTATAATTTATCCCAACAGTGCTGAAGACTATCTGTTTATATTCAAATAAGCTAGTAAGTTCTAAAGGATCCCCGAATTTCATGAAGCGAATTTTGAGGAAAGGAGTATCTTGCACAGGGAAAAGATTCCCATATCTTTCCAGCTAACAAAAGCTCCTGGGAAGTGGCTTATTGAATACAATTTTGTTACACATCAAGATTGCTTAGATTTGAAAGAGTTTTAAGCTGTGCTCTTAGGACTGGTTCCCAATTCTGCCCAACCCTACCCTTTTTATTTCTCAACAATATTGGATTACCTGACAGTAGTCCACTTTTTAAGTGTATTAACTGGATATTTTTTAAATACAGGTAATCCTTGACTTGCAACAGTTCGTTTAGTGACCATTCACGGAAAAATGTGACTTATGACTGTTTTTCACACTTATGACAATTGTGGCATCTCCATGGTGATGTGATTAAAATTCAGATGCTTGGTATCTGACTCATATTTATGACGGTTGCAGAGCCCTGATGTCATGTGATCATCTTTTTGCAACCTTCTGACAAGCAAAGTCAGTGGCCAAGTCAGGTTCACTGACTAATGTAACAGTGCAGTATTTCACTTAACTGTGGCAAGAAAGATCATAAAATGGAGCAACATTCACTTAACAATAGAAATTTTGGGCTCAACTGTGGTTGTAAGTCGAGAACTACCTGTAATCAATCCAAAACTGATTTTGGATTTCCAGCTACATTACATCAATAGCTCAGTCATTCCTGGTTCTTTATTTAGTTACGTCCAGCTGAATTCTCAGCCCACACAAAAAATGTTGCTTATCATTCCAAGTTCATAGCCTTCTACTTGGCAGGACGTCATTTCATTCCATTTCTATTACTCCAGTTCCAGTTCTTCCTGTGCAATTTCCTAGTCCTTCTTCCGAACTCATAAAACTGTCCAAATTAGTGTTATCTATTTCAAGACTCAGATTTCCTTTCTAAAACAAATACTTCAACCTTGTTAAATTAAAACAAGCTTGATCAATTACACTAATGCTTCCTTCGAACTCAATGTTTCTTTTTAATACAATGCTTTATTAACCTAATTATAACTTAGTGAGTTGAAGTATTCATATTGCTACACAACTTATTCATTTTAAATATTTTCTTTTGTAATGTATACATTCTTTTATTACATCCAGATCTCTTTGAGCAGTCTCTCAAAAGACTGCTGCATTGTATTTCCTTTTATATTTTAATATCTTCATATGATGATCAAAATATGCACATTTTATTTGAATATTGGTACAAAGTAATTGATTTTCTAATAGATAAGTCATGCTATTGACACTACTTGATTGTCAAAGGTTTGCCATATACATAGTGATACAAAGAGAAGACATGGAGGTGCTGGGCTTTTCAAAACATAGACCAAGCAATTTTATTTCTAAGTTTGCACTTCTCTTTACATATAAAACATAGTGGAAAACAACTTTCTTAGTCTCTAAAGATTGCAGAAAGCATAAACAGTGAATATAAGATATCACTTAAGTGGGTGGTCCAAAATATTTGTCACAATTTACACTGGGAGATATTAAGTATTAAGCTTCAAAGAGGCCTACAGATTTTTCCTCTTATTACCCCCACAAGGAAGTAATCACCCAATAATTTTGAAGCAATTAAGGTGTGATTGTTGGTCTTAATGCCTTCCCAGAGCTTTTATACATATTTTTTTCTCCTTATCTTTTAACCCCACCTCCCCCCCAATGAGGCAAATTATAGCTATCACTATTTTGTTCCTGACATTCAGCAGAATATCTGGAAGGCACAAAATGGTTATGACCTCTAGCTGCCTGCTCTTCAGCCAAGGCAATGAAAACTGCAGCCATAATTTATCTTACCAGGAAGTTAATGTGATTGCTACCCTGCAAATACATATGATCTGTTGGTGAACTATGAATACACACACTCACACCCCTGGGGGGGGAGGGTTAGTCCAATACTCTAATCCATATTCAGATGTCTGTTTTAGAACTAATGAGAAATCAATGAATCTACCAAAGCCTGGATACAAGTGAAAACTGTGGAATAGATTCCATTAGACCAGTTTAAACATTCAAACTAGAACACATTTAAAGGAGACAATGTAGACCCTGCCTTTTGCAAAACGGAAGATTTATTTTCCTTTTCAGATAATTTCACTTTTATAGTTATATTCTATGAACTGTAATATCAACCCTGTTGGACACAGTACATTGAAAACATGATTTAAAATGTTTGTTTAGTTGCCTGAAACATTTATTTCCTTTCCAAATATCATCAGTAAGAACAGTTTTAAATTTGGAAATAAGTTTCAGTTTGTTACCAAGTTTGTTATGAAAGCTTGTTCTAAGATACTGGCTTTGTTTTTGCTTTAATAACTTTGCCAATTTTTTGCTTACTTAACATTAGTTGTTTGTTGCTTTTTGGAAGAAGATACTTTCATCAAAGATTCACTGTTTGAGGGTTTTTTTCTCTTGATACTATATATGCAAACAGGAAAGCAGATGAAGGGTTCAGGATACGTATTAAAAGAAAATGTTGATCTTCTTTGTTGTGTCTGGTTTTTTTTTTTTTTTTGCCTTATTCCAAACCAGAATGACTAGTTTAAGTAAGGAAATGTTGTCTCTGTAGCTAATAAGGAAACCTCTCGACGCCAGTCAGACTCCCTACCTTACCAAAATTAATCAATTTATTCTAAAAATTGGGAATCAAGTACTATAAAACACTAGTATCATTTTTATTTACAAGATTTGTAGAGATATTCCACATTCACTTTTTGAATAGTAAAAATGGTGACTGATAGTAGCCTGGTTTTGAAGATGCCTACCTGTTCAGAAAAAAAATGGCGCTAAGTGGATGTATTAACAATCTAGAAATTTTAAAAGGGATGGCAGAAACAATTCTCTGTGGATATATACAAGTTGCTTTCAAAAACCCAAACATGTTGCAAGATTCCTTTGCTTATTACAGGCAATACCAAAAAGACAGCTACCCACGATCCTCAGAAGTTCAAGATCTTGGAGAAATCTTGCATTGCCCAGATTGGTAAGAACATAAAGAGAACCCTGGCAAATTACACTCAATTATCACTCTAGTGTATATTCAGTTCATATTAGTAGAAAGAAGAGACAGCCAGCCCTCTGTGGTAGCAGGTGTCAGCAGTAAATCTTATCTCTCCAAAAATGTTAAATGCTTTTTCAAGAATTGGTTTGCTCAACAGAAGGCTACCTAGACATAACTCAGCTGGATTCTTTTCTTTACAGCAGGAAACAATGAGGTTGTATACACAAAGATCTGCCCACTGCAGTCTTCATATGGGTCACTGCTCCAGGGTTTAAACTATAGATCTTTTCCAACCCATATTTCCCAGTCAGATTCTCTTGATGGTCTTGGAAGGATAGTTGTTTTTCTTTAATAAAATCCATAAACTTTATTCCCGTACATTCCTACTTTTTAATCAAATTCTGGCAAAAAAGCAGCATTTTAATGTTGCTTTTGTTTTCATATAATCCTGACCATTGGTAGTACCATTTCAGTATTTATTTATTTATTTATGAGACTTATATACCGCTTTAAGTGCAAGCACCCTCTAAGCGGTGTACACCAGTAAGCAATGTATATATATATATATATATTTACATTGGCCCCAACAATCTGGGTCCTCATTTTACCTACCCCGGAAGGATGGAAGGCTGAGTCAACCTTGAGCCGGTGAGATTTGAACCGCTGACCTGCTGAACACAGTCAGCTAAAGTGGCCTGCAGTACTGCACTCTAACTGCTGCGTCACCTCGGCTCATATGAAGTTGGGATACTAGATACTGGTATACATGAAATTAAAACAAAACACTTTTCTGAATACAGGTAATCCTCAACTTACAACAGTTCATTTAGTGACCATTCAAAGTTACAATGGCACTGAAAAAAGTGACTTATCACCATTTATCACATTTATGACCGCTACAGCATCCCCACGGTCACATGAATTACAGTCAGATGCTTGACAACTGGTTCGTATTTATGATGGTTGCAGTATCCTGAGGTCAGATGATCATCTTTTGTGATGTTCTGACAACCAAAGTCATTGGGGAAGCCAGATTCACATAGCAGCCGTGTTACTAATTTAACAACTGCGGCGATTCACTTAACAAATATGGCATGAAAAATCGTAAAATGGGGCAAAACTCACTGAACACATTTCTCACTTAGCAACATAAATTCTGGGCTCAATTGTGATCATAATTTGAGGACTACCTGTATTCAGAACAAGTACATTAGGGAACTGAACCACTTTAGTGTTCATGTTTGGGTAAGTCTTTTCTATGAAGTGATAAGGAAACATGTATTTTTGCCATTTAAACCTAGGAAATATACTTATTGACCATCGTGTTAACACTAGGTTGAAAATTTCATTACTGTGTTACCTTTATTGTATTATGAGCACAGCTTTTACCATGTTGTTTCTGTAAATTCCTGACTGACAGCAATCTGCTCGAGAGGGTTAGGGTAGCAAGCAGACATTTAAGAGGTAGAAACGTTGCTGCTTTGGGGCTAAACCCTAACAATGAAAACACAATATCTGAAAATCTTGCCTTGTTAAATCCCACATCCATAACAATATGTTACCATTATCACAGTTTCAGCATCTTTTTTCTGTCAATGAATCATTTCTTTTCAGGGATTAGAAAAGTTAATAATTAGCTTGTAGACCCTGTCACTCATGTGTTTGCAAACCACACTGATTCATTAGCAGCTTTCATGGGGACAGGTAATAATTGTGCAGTCCCTAAGAATAAAAGATGTCCGCCAGCCTTGTCTCAAGCAAAACTGCCCCAAAACTAGCTACCCACGGATAGAAATGAATGTAAGTATCCCTTTTAGATTAAGAGTTATTGTAATTTCAGCCAATGTAATTAACATAATGGACTGGAAAACACTTACCGGAAAGCCATCTGCAGGCACTTCGATTTCATCATGTGAGGTCAGACAACCTATGGGTGAAAGACACAGACATCAAATTTTAATTTGGGTTTATTTGTTTTCTAGAGATTCTCAGTAAGCATAGCACCAGAATTTTATAAAGAATATTTATATCATCATAATACAGGATATAATAAAACACATTATGTGAGGAAACACTTTAGACAGCGGCATATTTTGTTTCCATATCCTTTTCCTGCTAGAAAACAGGAATATATCTATTTTAATACACTGATTTTGAATGGTGATTGCTCTGTTCCCAAAAGACCCACTTTGAGGACAAATGCCACGGCATGTGCCTATTTACAAACTGAGTATGGACATTGCTCCATTCTGTATAAGGGGCCAGTGAGAACAAAGTATTTTTGAAGGAAAGTAAAACTTTGATGACTACTGAAAGTTGCAGTGTTTTTTTTTTTTTTCTCAAATAAGATCTGGAATTTATTACTGTTAAACATACTGCTCTTTTTTCTTCAAGACTTAAGCAAACATTTTCCTTTTACATATGTGCACATATATATCAGTGATACTTTTTGGCTTTCATTCTTTAAAACTGGCAGTAAGTAGGCTAGTAAGAGTAGATGAAATGAACAACTAAAAAAAAAAGGGGAGGTGTAAGCTTTTTAAACAAAACAATCCAGAATAATGCATACCTTGAGATATATCTTCAACAGCCCTACGAATTCCTCTATCAAATGCTCTTGCATCAGCGGGACTTTGAAATGTGAGGCCAAATTTTTTTTCATCAATCTTCCAGTGGTGAAAAGTTGGAGTAACTTTATTGTAAATAAGCTGCTTCTTTAATGTACACTCCAAAACCACCTGAAAAGAAACCAAGTTAAAAGAAGAGATTACTATAAAGGACTTGTGTGTGTTTGTGCATTTAATTAATTTTTGTTCTATCAAAGCTTTTCACAGAAAAAAGGAAACAAGTCATAGCATAAAAGACCTAATTACTAAAATATACAATGCAAATTTAATCACAAAGCTCTAAAAGCTAGTACCAAATGCCCATCAGTTTAATAACCTATCCCACCTATCCCAAAATTTAATTAATGTGAAATCAAAAGCAGAAAACAGAAACACTTACACAAAGAAAAAAGAAAGCTGTATAAATGGGAACCATCATCAAGATAACCCTGGTTTTTGGTCCCTGCCAGCAAGTTTGGCTATACTTGAACAGAAGCACAAAAGTCTGTAAATCAAACTGATTCTGGACTATTCAGGTTTGTAAATAACCAAGTAAACAGGATTTGAAAGAGACAGCTTTCACAAGTGATAAAATATTGGAATAGACTGCTTGATATGCCCATGTGATATTCCTGCTTTTCAACCTGCATTGGTTACCAGTTTGTATTCTGCTTTTATTATTTCCACAAATAACTCAAGGCAGCGAACATATCCCACATACCTTCCTCCTCTAATTTTCCCCATAACTACCCTGTCAGATAGTTTGGTTGAGAGGGGGGGAGAAGGGGGAGAGGGGAAGGAGGGAGACTGGCCCAAAGTCACCCACTGGCTTTCATGGCTCAGGTGGGACTAGTACTCAAGGTTTCCCTCTTTCTAAACTGGTGCCCTAACCACTTGATCAAACTGGTTCTAGGCAAACTGCTAATCTTGCTTTTCAGTCTATGGTACCTGCCTTTTGGAATGAGATTCCTCCTGAAATGTGGGTGGCTCCTGCCTGAATGGTGTCCTGCAGATCCTTAAACACCTGATTCGTCTCTTAGGCTTTGGGCTAAGGTGGTTTGGAGCCACTGCTAAGGATATGATACTTGTTTTATGTATTGACTGGATCTGCCATTTGTTTACTGTTCTATATAGATTGTTTTTGTTTTATTGTCCTGTTCTGTGAGACACCCAGACCTAGTCTGGAATTGGGTGGTGTCTAAATTGAACGAACGAATGAACAAATGAATGAATCTATCTTCTGCGAACCTTCTTCCCTGGCTGTCCAAACATCTAATTTGGATGTGACTAAGTAACTAAGACCAACTGTATTATAGAGGTTAAGAACTAGGATCAGAAAGAACCAGACTGTAGTCTGCTCTTAGCAACAGAATTCTACTTGATGGATTTGGGCCATTCACTGTGGAAATATAGGGGAAGGGAAAGCTACTGTATATGTTGCCTTGAGCTCCTGAATTAAATGCAGAGTAGAAATGCAAGTAGTCCCCATCTTATGACCATATCTGGGACCAGAATCTCAATCATTGAGTGAAGCAATAGTTAAACAAAATGTCACATGACTGCTTCATTCAACAACCAGAGTCAGCATTCCCAATTGTGGCCATTAAATAAACTCCCAAGTCATTAAGTGGGCAGAATGAAAGCTGCCTGCAGAAGGATTTCAGCTCCATCCTGTGGTAGGCAGCTCTTTGAGAATAAAACAATGTCTTTGCAGGGTTTCAAACCGTTGTAATTTCAGACTGCTGTAAGTCAAGGATTATCTGTAGCATAAATAGTTCTAAATGTACATCTGGTTCTGCATTATTGGAAGCAAATCCTTGATTAAATAGGGCTTTGCTTTCCAATATCTCTGTTAATGTTCTTAGTGCTATATATTAAAAGGTTTAGAAAATAATTTTTAAAAAATCAGTATCTGAATGTATTCTATTCATTTAAACAAATCCAGGTTTTCTATTCTCACTTTTTTTTTTGTATCTATGCAAACAAAAGGGGATTTCTTTATTATGGATCTGCCATGTGACGTAGTTGCTTTAAGAAGCTGCAGACAATGTTATATTTATGCCTTTGCACACAGTGAACACCATTTCAGAATCAAATCAAAATCATTTCCTGGCCATACTCAATTTCCATCAGCTGCTTTTGTTTCACACAGTTCTGTTCCCAAGCTGATTTTCTTTCTACAGAATGCTGTTGGGTCCTCTTCAACTTTAGATTAAAAAAACCACCCCTCAAAATGTGTGGATAGAATCCAGGATTAGCAATTACAGAAAAAAATGTGATGGTTTTTCAACAACCCTGATTAATCTATCCAACTTTTAGTTTCATTCATTGATATCCTGTCTTTCAAAAAGAAATACAAAGATGTTTGTTAGCTCTAAACTGTGACATAGGTTAGGGCAAGAAAAACTGGGCCCTGGGTTACCCAGATTTTTCTGTTCTGCTCTTGCACAATATTTTCAATCTTTTTTGCCTCCCTTTTTCCTTGCTAAAAATTATTGTGCTAAATTTCCATAGTCAATTAACTCTAAATTATGGAAGAAGTATACCAAGCAATGACATTTTAAAAATTGTTTCTTTAATTGCCATTACTTCTCAAATTCCTATTCTGGAAGGTCTAATGGTACAAGTTTTCAAAAGCCTTTTTCATTGTCTGAATATGCTGCCTCTACATTGATTAAACAAAGGTAACAGAGAATAAGATATGCAACAGGCAACAAACTGACTCATTATAAAATTGGAAAGCAAAGGTAAGTATCACTTTAAAAGCAATAGCATTTGACAATCAAGAGAAATACTGAAACCTAAATGCCTGCTTAATGCTTCATATAAAAGGAACTATCCGGCTATGTTTACATAGCTTAAAACAGCAGCAGACCTGTCCAGGTTAGAGTGGAAGGTAATTGTTCAAACTAGACTGGCTGGAGCCAGATCTCAGAAGGGAAGTATAATGAAGGAGGAAGTGTGCAATTATGTCAAGGGTGCTTTGTGAAGAAAGAGAGAGAGAGAGAGAGAGAGAGAAAAACTGCGTTACATTCCAACAGAGGTCTAAACAAGCTGGGTAAACAAGTCCAGAAATAGTCTCTGTCATTCCAAAGTGACACCCATTTCCTCAGTGCTATCTCTTTCAAGATACTGGACAGACTGTTTGTCAAAAACATGTCAAGCAAGTATTCTCATTCATAAAAGTACACCTAGTATTTTGCAACAAATACCCTCAATTAAAGCAAAATAACTCAAAAGATTTTACTTACATAAGACTTCTCTAATCTTGTGCTTTCCAAATGTGATGGGGTCACACCCACAGAATTCTCTTTTCCTACCTAAATTTCAATGCATTGCTTTTCTGAATGTCTTGCTACCCCACCCAAATAGACAAGACAGACAGCAAGTATACATCAAAGCACATACTAATGTACTGTTTCCAGGTAAGTTCTATTCTTAATTTCGGGAACTGCATTACAGCAAAAAAACGTTTAATAATGTAATGCCAAGCAAGTTTTAAAGTTTCAAAAATTAAATGATGTACAATTCCTCCTTGTTGTCTTCCTTTTAAACGTACTCCACTTTACCACCTCAGCTCATGGTTTTGTGCACTTGAATTAAACCCCTAATCCAAGTGGCCAGGATGGCCAGGAATTCTGAGATGGCAAGTTTGATGTATCTGGAGGGGCTGAGTTAACCAGTCAAAGAGGCTTTTCAGGGCTGAGGAGTAGAAGTAGGCTAAAATAAAAGTATGGAAACCGGTCCATCCACACTGAATGACAGGACAACTCCTAAGAAAAGCAAAGGCAGGGCTACCTGATGACTTTTGAAGTCTGACCTATAATTAGTGGTTTATGACAGCCCCCCCCCTCCCCGAAACAAATCAGCTTGCTCTGAATCTTTCTTTCTCTCATTGGCTCTGGATCTCAGTGCTAATCCTTTGACACACTGTTGTATTACCTTATTATTCTGTATATATATACATTGCAAGAACACATTGCAAAAGGAACAGCAGCAACAGCAAGACAGTGGGCTTACTGACAGCAAGACTTTTTGCCAGCTCAAACTTAATTACTGTTTCAATAGCAGCTTTTACAAAACTTTTCTTATAATGTTGTACTGTTGATGTATTACACCTAAAAAAAAAATGCACTTGTTAAAAATGGTGAGAAATCATAAGAAGTACATTCTAGCTGCTCAGAATCTTTGAGTCCATGCCAAACATATACATGGCAATATATTTTCAGATAGGAAAATGATTATTGTTGCTGTCTTCTCCATTTGTACATCTTCAATAATGGGTAAAGACACACACAGGAATACCAGAGAGTGATTTTCCAATTCTATCACTTTTTCCTTCCTCCACAACTAGCCAACAGTGGCAACATCGTTTGGGGAACAGCAATTGGGCCTTGTTTCCCTGAACTGCATGCTCACTCTAGATACAGAAGAAGTAACAAACACTTGCCCCACACTGAAAAACAAGCAAACTGCTTCGCCAGATCTCCCCTTCTTCCATTCTCCTACGGTTTGCTTTCTGGTACTAGCTTCTCTTCTTTGTGTTTTCTGCTTTCTGACTTGATAGCTAAGGTAATACGTTTGCAGAGAAAAGAAAAGAAATATTTGAAATCCAGACTTCCTTGTTTCTTCAGGTCATAAAAGGGTCAATAAAAGATGGTAGCAGCATTGCCATTTTTTTGACTATATTGGAACAACAGGACTAAGGGCATTGCTCAGTTGGAAAGCCAGGGGTACAACGTGGTAAAATTTCAGAGAGAAGCTGAAAAGAGGAAGAAGCACAATAAGCAGATTCATCAATTTCAAGAGCGTATGTGTGTAAACTATCATACAGAATTGGACAATACACTGAAACTCTCTCATCCATACTAAATACTCTCATTCTTCATGATTTAGCTTATTATAAGCAAATATTTCACTATTCCCACGCTAAACTTTACCAACCTTATTTATCTCGAATAATTTGCTTCAGGTTCTAAAACGACACTTTTGAAGATATTCAAATATAAATTCTTATCAACTGCATTACTCCTTTTTGCTGGAGGCAAACCTTATGGAAAACTGTAAAGGGCAACCATGGAACAGATTTCTTACAACCTAAGAAACCCTAACTAAGCCTTGGATTGTTAGTTGTTACAAAAGGGTAGAAAAGTAAGCATAAAAAAAAGTGAAGTGTAAGAAAAGGACCTGAATCTGGTTTGCAACCCTAGTCTCTATATCAGTGTTTTCCAAACTTGACAATTTTAAGGCATGTGGACTTCAACTCCCAGAATTCCACAGCCAGCAACGCTGGCTGTGGAATTCTGGGAGTTGAAGTCCTCATGCCTTAAAATTGTCAAGTTTGGGAAACACTGCTCTATATCAACAGCTTTATATTCTTACAAACCAATTCCTGCTTCACTGCATCTACAGACCATTTCATACATATATGATTTTTAAGAATCAGCAGCCATTTAAATAGCAAATGAACAGATATTTAACACTAATGATTATGACTAAATCTTTATACATTCAAAGATTATATTATTTAGCAGCTGCTCTGTTGAAAGTATGAATAAAGCCGTTTCACAAGCTCTACATTTAATTTAAATGGCAAAATAGGCACTCAGGGCAGATGTTACATGGATTACTATGTGCCAGGCTGATGTTTCCCAGTTATGTGGGAGATGCCTCTTGTATGGCTATAGGTAACATTTAAAGAAAGTAATTCATCTAGGGAGTTTCCATGTGCCAATCCCAGGTCTTGGTCCCTGCCCTTCTGGCTGAGTTGTAATCCTAATCTTATGTAAATGTAACTTTCATCAAGCTAGAGCTATGTTTAAAGAGCTCTTGATTTATTAGCAATTCAATGAATAGTTATATCCAGCTGCACCTAGAAGTATGATAATGTGCAAGAAATGGATATCTGAATTATACTAATGAACAATTCTATACTAAAGAGGCAACTAATAACCCATTTAGTTTGCTGATTTCCTGCAATTTATTCTGGCGCAAAGTCTATTTTCACTGAAAAAAAGATTTTTGTTAGTTGCAATCTTTTTCACAATTTACATTCTTAAGAGTGACATTATCTCAACTTTTAAGATTTCAATGCTGATAACAATACATACAGTGTTTGTATGTGTATATACATACACACAGAGAGAGACACAGACAGACAGAGACACACATACTCACATATTTCTTTTTTGCATATCTATTTTCCCTTTTGGTTTGTTTGTATTTTTTTGTTCTTGATGCTTTGTTCAATAAAACAATCCAAAACACCCACAACTTTATATAATAATATAACTTGAATGTGTCAATACACATCATCTATCTCCTAATTGTGAGTTGACAGCAACAGTAACTTGTAAGATAGTTTTTAGATTGCAGAGTCTAATAATAGTGTGAGTATGATGGTGACATATCTGTTAGATCTCCAATGAACTGCTAAATTACAAAATAATTTGGAACAAAACTAAAGTGAGGGAATGATGAAAGATTCTATATGGGAATGATAGTGCTATGTAGAAAACTGGAATTTAAAAGAGCACTATTCGTATTGTTAATGTCTAAGAAAAAGATAATGAAGTCAGTGGTCCAAGATATGACAATGAGTTAAATTTGTGAAGTATAATGCAACTTTATTATTTATTTAACTAATTTATACATCTGTACACTTGCCAGAGTGACACTGAACAGGTAACAGGATATTATTTTGAAAGATAACGTGTATGCAGTGAAGATTTTTGTTTTTCACTAAGTAACTGAGAAATGAATAAAAGCAAAAAAAAATACATTTATTAATTTAAAGAAAGTATATAATGAAGTTTGTAAATGTATTTCAGAAATTTTCTACAAATATGGAATTTAAGGTTGGTTACTGCATGTAATAAAAATAGTATATGATGGAAGTTAAGCATGCATGGAAATAAGGAAATGATTCAACACAGAGAAAGCAAAGATGTGTGATATATCTTTGGTTGTTAATGCATTTATTATGAACATATATGGAACACTTGCAATAATTCTAGAAGTGAATTAGTCAAGGATATGAAAATGGCTGCAAATGATGCAATACTCTTGGCTAGGAACCCAAATGATTGCAGTGATATCAGATAGAATTATGAATGAGGATAATGACAACAAAAAAGAGCAAATAGAAAAATTTGTATACTTTGTTAGAAAGTTTTTTAAAGATGGAAAACTATGTTATTCTGTTAAATACTGGTTAAAAAAAAGTAATTGCTATTTCCTGATCTATTGTAAAGAATCTATACTTACAGGAAGCAATTTAAATGTATGCGTAGGGGCACAATTCTGACCACTGTGTTCCATGGAAATGAGGCTGGATACGTCAGGAGAAACAGCACAGTGATTTGAAATGTAATTTACTTTATGAACTGAAAAAGGATATGTATGGTAAAATAAGAGGTAAGGTCAGGAATGAATGGGGTTTCAATGAATGTAGACTAAAAATATGTACAGGCACAGTGAATAATATAATGTGTGCTAGAGTTAATTAGATTTTATCTTATTTTAGCTCTGCTTCCAATTTATTTGCTTATTACTTCTTACACTTTTTCTATGGTTTCTATAATGATGCTTATCCTGAAATGGATTAGTGTAAAATAGTGATTTTCAAACTTGGCAATTTTAAGATGTATGGACTTCAACTCCCAGAATTCCCCAGCCAACATGGGGGAATCACAGGCTTAACATTTAACACTGCAATAAATTTAACAGTACTAACAATACATCTCTTTCAAATTTCGCAATCTTATGATGTATTTCATAGATTTATTGTGATAATTATTACAAGTCACTTTAAACCATTTTTAGGTATCTCCAATGCAAGAAATATAAATATTTTAATGGCTTTTTCAATTAACCACATTTAATGCAATCCAAAGTACTTTCCAAATGATCAGACAATGTTATGAATTTTGAAATTTAAAAACATTTACTAAAATGTGTTTAGGTGTATATATAAATGTGCACATATGACTGTGTGTTTGCATATGCACGCACATACAAACATACACAAAGAGATAAAGATTAAAAGAACATACACACACTTATAAATAATAGGGTGTTCCAAACTGTTTCTTATGGAGTTATTTTTGACTTACAATTAATGGCACAAAAGAGGCATAATTATTTTTACCGTTTTATCCCTGAGACGTTCCCCATGTATAAGAAAATCAGCACAGCCACTTTCTTCTTGGTGAATGACTTTGAAAATGGTGACGCAGCTTAGTCCACCCCCTGCAAGTGGTAACCATCCACCACTTGAGTCATCACGGGTCATCACCACAGCTCGCACACGGGCATAACTATTACTGAAACAGATTAAGGATAAAAAAAATTAAGTTTTCTATGCTGGGAATGAATAAGATCAAATTAAGTCACTGCATAGCCTTATTAAATTATTCAAACCAACTAGATAATCTTACAGTTCTCAAAAACATTTGATATCCCATGACTGTCAGCAGCATTGGGAATCTATTTGATAATTTGAACTGATTACTGAAGACTCATGGTGACGCAGTGGTTACAATGCAGTATTGCAGGCTAATTCTGCTGACTGCCAGCAGTTCAATCCTAACTGGTTCAACGTTGACTCAGTCTTCCAGCCTTCCGAGATTGGTAAAATGAGGATCCAGATTATTGGGGGTAATATGCTGACTCTATAAACCGCTTAGAGAGGACAGTAAAGCACTGTGAAGCGTTATATAAGTCTAAGTGCTATTGCTATATAGTTTACTTGAACATATTTGGGCAAATGAGGCAAATTTTGTAATGTTGTTGGCAGCAAAAGCCTAGCTAGTGATCTGGTCTTAATGCTATTGGTAGGGATTTCTGTGGTCTGGTCTTAATGCTATTGGTAGGGATTTCCAGTGATACTTATATGAAAATAGATCCAAGATAGGCACTTTATTGCACAAGCAAAGTCAAAACACTATAACAAACCTTCTCTTCCCAAGTTTACTAAACCACTTTGGCTATGATAGTCTTGCACCAGCATGTGTAGCAAGGCAGTGTTGGTTAGGGCTGGTAACCAGGACAATACATTATTTGATACAGTTCTGTTTATATTCAGTGCTACATTTGCTAATTTGGTGAGAAGGGAGCGGACACAGATTGGATCATAATAACTTGCCACAAGAAAGCATAAACTAAATAAGAGATGATCACAATGTTTGCTCATTTGCTTCCTGCAAAGAGTTACTTAACTGCCAGTAAATGCATAATTAATTTTACCATCACTGCCTTTTTGGGATGATGATGATGGAAGGTCAGCATCCAGTAGAAATTAAACAATAACAGGATTAATGTTGTATTCATTCTTTTTCCACTGATATTTAAGTTGAAACTTTTGGAGGAAGAGTTAAAGATTGTGCAAGGGATATTTAGGCCAGTCCAATGTAATCTAATTATAAAGTACAGGGCATAAACGGCATGTTTTAAATTTACTTTTCTGTTGTTTATCAGTGTTGATGGGAAACAAAGCTTTTTTAAAAAGACATTGATACATTTATTTTAAAAAAAGACAGTTAATATGCTTTTAGCTACTCTTTGGTACCAAAATGACAAAAGATCAGTTAAAGAACCAAATTTATTAGATTTCTAGATAAGAGGCACAAGTACACAAGTTCATACCATTTTAATGAAGAATAATATGAAACACTATTTTCCTTTACTGTATTTGTACCAATCAGATTTATCTTTTCTTCAAGAACTTTACTTCACGGTTACTATTGTTACTAGTGTTCATTAGTATTAATGAAGAATAATATGAAACACTATTTTCCTTTACTGTATTTGTACCAATCAGATTTATCTTTTCTTCAAGAACTTTACTTCACGGTTACTATTGTTACTAGTGTTCATTAGTAGTTTTAGTAGATTGACAGACTGGATTTAGCCAAGAACTCCTATAAAAATACCCGTAACTAAAGTCAGTGGAAAAGCCACCAGGAAGTTGCAAATTCATCAGAAGAACATATTTAAGATTGCCTTAATAGAAAAAGACACTCAAATTTTACTTATAAGCAATTTCAAGTACTGTATATAGGCTTTCTACTGTCTGAAAAACGTTATACTTCAGATCATTTTTCAATGGATTCCAAAACTTTTTGCTTTTATTTACAACCCAAATTATGAAAAAGCAATGCTATCTATACTGCAAACTCTCCTTAATGTAAATAAAGTTTTGTTTTATTTGCTATCACTGCATTTTACCACAAGCTCTTGGGATGTGACAAGGAATTCTGAAATGTTTAATGACAGGTAATCTTATAGCCTAGTTAGAATTCTGCACAATCACAGATCTATCTATAGATCTCTGTCTATTAAGTCTAATAAACTTAATATCCTGCTTAACTCATATGGAAATATGAAATAGAAATTCATTTTCTTGTCTGCCAGTGTTAAAGGAAGTTCTGTTCTCCTGTGAAATACAGTAGAGAAAAAAAAAATATACCAGTATCGTGTCTAATTTTCCATCACATTAGGGATATAGAACAACTATGAAACCTCCCATCTGACTATCCCCTTCAGCCAGGTTCTTTAAATATCACTTTTTTGATACTAGAAAAGCCATCATTCCCTCACTTCCCCCCCCCCAGCAGCAGCCATTTGACTGCCTACTGGGCTTGGATTTGTAATTTCCTGCTGGCTTCCCCACTGACTTTCTCCTTGCACAAGCTTCCCACAAGCAAAATAAATGGGAAACCAGAAAGAATTCAAGGGAGGGAGGGAGGAGAGAGGAAGATTCCCAATGCCACTTACCAGCTTCCCACAAGGAAATTCAATAAGGAAGCCAGCAGATAGTCAGAAATCTTCCATTACTCTTTGCTCAGCCATGGTCACTCTGTTTGTGCTTAGGTAAGGAAATATCTGTGAGATGAAGACCCAACAGGACATCGGTTGTCTAATAAATATATGTATTTGTTGACAGAGCAGTAATTGTCAGTAGAACAAACTTCCTTCCACCCTACAACCCCATAGGATTCCTAAGGATAAATTTCATGCTTTGGTGATTTATGGGAAAGGACAGCAACTGCATGACTAATTCAAACATACAAGAGATCTAGTCTAACTTTCATCCACTACACTTATATATGCAAAACCACAAAAATAAGGACAAATGTACATATTAATATGTTTATTGCCACACTGAAATAAAAACATGTATGGAGAGGTGCTGGATGCTATGAAAGAGCAATAAATAAATAGGGATCCAATAGTATTGAGTTCTAAAGCAAAACGTTGCCTTGGATCTCGTGTTTTATGCCCACTGTACCTATCAATGGCTCCTTAAAGAAGATGTGCCTTTCCTGGGACACGTATGGTAGCTCTGCAGCCCCCAGTTCTCTTTTATCATATTCTCATATGATAAAACATAAAGTCCCCAGAAAATGTGTGTCTGGATGTTGTTGCGTTGTCACCATAATTTTAATTCAATCCTGTATCACCCCGGGGGCAGCACAGTTTCTGTATGAGCCCAGAAAATAGCACAACTGCTGATAGGGACAGCAAGCAGGCCTAACGGATTTTTATTTTAAAAAAATTCATTTATTTTAAAAAGACAATTAGTTGTGTCAATTTAGTAATTATTTCCTATTGTCATATTAACATTTAACTTACAAAGTTTCATGAAGTAACAAAGTATTATATTTTTTTCTCATTTGGACAAAACACCAGAGACATATTAATACAGTGTAACTTCATAGAATACTGAGCTTTGTATGTGCTTCTATCAAATCAGACCTAAGGGTGACAATCTAAAAGAGCAAAAACATGAATCACAAATAAATAAAAAAAAAAACTGAAAAGAGGATGGAGTGGGTTTTTTTTGCTATTTAAATATTACTAATTAGACCGTAATGCAAAATTAGCTTACTCTTCTTCCATTAATCACAGGTGTGGGTGGAAGAAAATATACAAAACAAAAATAAATTATAATCAATATTTTAAGATATCCAGGTTTAGAGAGACACTATGAAGGAAGAGGCTAAAAGGAGTGACAAACTCATTCAATTGCTTCACTTAGTTCTAAACAAAATTCAAATCTGGACTAATGCTTTGAATGCAATGTGTTCTTGGCAAGAATTCTTCTTGACTTAGTTGCCCACAAAGAAAGCATTTTCTTTTAGTTTGCTACTGTACAAACTATCCAAAATTGGGAAACAGATTTAAAGGCCACATACAAAATGCTCTTGAAGTGTGGAAGCTTATAATGAAACTTGTACGAAGATGTCATGTTCATAATCAGCCATTTTAATACAATGATTCTCCCTTGGAGAAATGTCAAAACATCAAGGGTGAACATAGAGCTTAAATTTTAAAAGAGCAGGAATCTGCTAGGACACTGGTGGCAAACCTATGGCACGGGTGCCAGAGGCGGCACTCAGAGCCTTCCCTGTGGACACGCGTGCCGTCGCCCCAATCCTAGGCCTTCAGCTGGGTTTTATAAAACCTTTTCATTTTAGGCCTCCACCGCCTGTGCAAAAAAAAAAAAAAGGTCCAATCAATCAGTCAATTTCAACTTCCGGGAAACAAAAAGGTCGTGCAAGGTTGGAATTGATTGATTGAACTTTTAGTCCCACCCAGTCTGCTGTTACCACCACAGCCATGCCCAGCCAATGGGTCACACCCACCCAATTGGCCACACCCACCCAATGGCCACACCCACCCAATGGCCACACTCACCTGGCACCCGACAATGCATAAGTGGGTTTTGGGTTGCAGTTTGGGCACTCGGTCTCTAAAAGGTTCGCCATCACTGTGCTAGGACAATACTGCTTCTTCCCTCTATGGAAGATTGAGAACAAGTCTTATGTTTCCTTCCCTTTTCCCACTCTGAATACTTAATGATTGCTGAGAGGTTCAGGACTGGTTTTAAAGTAAAGCTCCTGGGACAATCAGGATAAGGAACTTTCTACTGCACTCGCCAAGAATGACCCCATATAGAAATAAATACAAATTCAACTCCTGAGAAACAAGGACAGTATTCATTCTGATGAATTATAGGAAAGAAATCTTGGAAGCTGGCCTTGCTATTTGTTAATTTCTGCCTGCTTTGTGAACTTTTCAGTTCACTGTCCATACACAATATCTGCAAGATGCAAGATAGCTTTTTGTCACTTTTGTCACATCATGATTCTCCTAAAAGGGAACAAAAAGACCAAGCAAAGAAACAGGCTGAACACGTGCACATGCATACTTATACACTTTCTCCTAATGGAAACACACAATTTTTGCAAAAAGTAATCCCTGGATCTGAAAAATGTTCAAATTATTCTCTGCATTTTTTATATTTTTATGTAACAGGTAT